AGTTTAGCTCAAAACAGCAACACAAATAATATATTAAACTTTAAAATATTATGAAGAATATTTATTGACAAATAAAATTGATTTTTATAAGAGCGGCTGACAGCCGAATGCGTTATGAGGTTAGCTTGACAAACTTGTCAAAACTTTTTTTTAAATTTAAATTTACCAATTTGACTATTTCATTCAGTGGAATTTGACTAATTATTAGTGACTGCTTTTTCGCTATGACAATTAGTCAAATATGACTTATAATTAGTTATTTTTGACTAATTCATTTTAAGAGAGTACTCTCTAAAAATGAATTAGTCAAAAATGACTAATTGTCATAGCGAAAAAGCAGCCACTAATAATTCTCGTCAATAGAAATTTGTATCCCGAACATTTAGCAGTCAATTTCCATATAAAATTGTCCCCTGAATCCGAAAATGTCGTCAAAAGTTAAAAAAAGTAGAACAGGTTTTGAGATATAGTCAATTTTCCATTTAATATGGAATTGACTTTATCTCAAAAACTGCTCTACTTTCATAATATTTTCGGATTCAGGGGATAATTTTACATAAGAATTGGCTGTTAAATTTTGGGATACCTTGGTACAAGTGTAGTAATTAGTCATTTTTAACTAATTCATTTTTAAAGAGTAGTTTTTTTCAGTATTCACCAAAAATTCATAATAATTTACTCTTGCTGTACCATAACAGTTATTATAATAGAGCCTTAAATATGTCCAAAAAACTTGTGGACATTCAAGCTCCGTAACTCCCATAAAATTATTAAGATTTTTATGAGAATGTTAGGGTATACTAACTTAAATATTCCTTTTTCAATAAAATTAACATAAAAGTCATATTTTATTGATATACCCTTTATTAGACCTTTAAATGTTATAGTGCTCAAACAAAGTATTTCACCAATACAATTTGAGTAACATTTTGTAACCTGTGTTATAAAATAATCTTTAGTATTATTTATGCCCTATTTTATAATTTATCTAAAGCATTTACGTATGCATGAAACTTTTTCCCATAATAAAATTGAATTCCGCACTTAATCTTGCGCGCATAAGAAGTTTAGTCGGAAATATGGCGAAAAACTTTCGTATTGGGATGGTTTTTTATGATTTATAAATTCGCACACGACGGAGGCCCACCACGTGCTCCGAGATTTACGAGATAGTAAATAATGTAAAAAGCGAAAATCTGCGGTCTTATTCCCCATGCGTTTTGTTTTCTTTATTCCTTAAGATGCGTTGATGCATACCCGTAAATAAAGTGATTTTATTCAAAATTTTATGGCGCACAGTAATGTCAAAATAGGTCGTTCTATGGAATCAAAAAATCAGAAATACTGTTTAAAAGTAAATTAGACTAAAAAACCAGTCCACTCTCTTAAAATGAATTAGTCAAAAATAACTAATTATAAGTCATATTTGACTAATTGTCATAGCGAAAAAGCATTCACTTATAATTAGTCAAATTCTACTGAATGAAATAGTCAAATTAGTAGATTTAAATTTAAAAAAAGTTTTGACCCAGCCGGTGATTGAAGCTGTTGTCATAACCCATTCGGCTGTCAGCCGCTCTTATATAAATATTATTTGTCAATAAAAATTGTTCATAATATTTTAAAGTTGAATATATTATTTGTGTTGCAGTTTTGAAGTAAACTTTTTGCATCGTTATTTGTTTTTATGGGCCATTTACCCATGGAGCTTAGGTATATGCATTTAATTTAAATAATACTTTGTTGTTGGCCGCAAACAATTAAAGAAATTAGTTACTAATCTTAAATTAGTCACACTTTAACTATTTACGTAGTAAAAAATAACTATTTAAAAGTAAAAACGACTATTTTATTAGTAAACATTGCTGGTACTAATTCAAATAGTAGAATTTTGACTATTTCATTTTTAGAGAGCACTTATGTATATATTTCACGCCAAGCGGGCAACTTTAAAAGCAAAGTTGTTTAAATTTGTTCATATTTGGGTATGCTGTACCCCTAGGGGGTCTTAGCATTGGCATAAAACTATTTGACCCTGCGAAGACTAGGGACCCCGCTAGGGGCTTTTACATTTTCGTCAAAACGTTGTGCATGGAGTATTTTAAAGGGGTCTAGCTTCTTGAAAAATCTTCGTAGAAAAAAAATAAAAAATCACATTGGTAGGTAATTGTATGCTCTTTTTCGTTATGCACTCAAATTAAAAATTCCAATTTGTTAAAAAATAAAAATTTTGTTTTAAAAATTAAAATTATAATTTTTTTAATTTCGGCCACTTTTTTTTTTTTTAATTGCTTAAAAATTCTTTCAAAATGTATAGATGAGGCATACAAAATTTTGTAATGGGATGAGCACTCGTTTAAATGCTAGAGGACTTGGAGTAAACCCTTCTCAAACCTAGTGGCGCGCCGCGGCGTTAGGTCCTAGCGCGTGATACACTGTTTAGTCGATCGCGCTTTTGAAAAACTTGTTAAATAAAATTTAATTATTGTGCAAAACTACATCGATATTGTTTAACTTGATTTTATTGTCCTTTTTAATATTTTTTTACTGAAACAAAAAATATAGACATGCAGCATTGAATTACAATAAATTTAGTAGGTACTTACGAACCCACAAATTTTCTTAACATTGTGGTTATATACAATTATGTTGACAATACTTTTTATTTTGATTTAAAATTGATTGGTTGAAAATAATAATAAACCAATATTTATAGTAAAAAAATAATATTAAATAAATTGATGAGACATTATCATTGTAAATAAAACATCTTCCTTGGGTCTTTCAATTAATTTATTTTATAATTTTTATAACCTTATGTTTTAAACTATTACTTGTATTTTTAACTAGAATGCCTTCGAGTGTTGGAATAAACGCGTGAAATTTTTTTGTTCCGGGAATAGGACTAGCATTATATTTGTAAAAGCGTTAAAACTAGACATTAAATACTAATTTTACACTGTAAAAAATCTCATTGAGTAACTTTGTTTTTGGTTTGGAGTTAATTTAATGAGTTAAATATTGGAGTACAATTTGAATTAAAAATGGGTCTTTTTACAAAGATTTCCAATTGTGACAATATTTTTAACAAATCTGATTAACTTTACTCGCATAAAGGATTAATTAAGCGAAAAAACTCTTTTTAGGTGACTTTTACTCAATTTGTTAATTTGTTTGCAAAAAAAACTCATTCCTGAGCGCTTTTGCATTTTTCCCATCATCCGTTTCGCGTCAATTCAAACGCCTTTGAGTCGCCAATCAGCAGCATCACGTTTCGTACCGTATGAGACTCAAGACAATTCATATTTACCTGAATCTAAACAGCAAAATAACTGAGTTTTGATGATATATTTTTAATAATAAAATTTAGATTTCACTCACGTCAATTGGGTAAAAAATTAACTCAATCTGGTGTGGACCTTTTCTGATACATAATTGAGTGATTTTTGAGTGAAATTTCACTCATTTTTTTTTACAGTGTAGAGATAATTATTACTGTCAAAAGGTTTTATTTTTTTCAATAAGAACCTTTTCATGTGGCACATCATTAAAAAGGTCTTTTGAAATTATAATTAACTAACTTATTTTTAAGATTCTATACAGGGTTTGTAGGAAATTAGCAACATAAGATTAATATTCAAAACGTGTTATTTTTGCAGTGACCCCATTCAGAATTTTCAAATATTAGTATAAAATATTGAAAATATATAAGCTTAAAAAAAATTCAAATGATTTTTTTTTAATGTGACCTTTTGCTAGAAGTTCTAGCCTAGAACGAGGCCTTTTTTAATCCATACATGTCAAAAAGTGTTACCTAAGGTTAGTGGTGTATCAATGCACCACAGGTTAATAAAAGAAGAGATTGTACAGTTATATTCCTTTATTTTGTTATCTATATATGTATAATTATTTATTTATAAATTTAATTTAAAATTTATCTAAATAAGTATTTTTAATTTTAATTTATTATTCCACCAAAATCCATAAAAATCTTTCTTCTTATAATTTCTTATTTTATTATCTTTCTTCTTATATCATTCTTCTTGTATTTCTTCTTGTATATTTTTTTATATTATCTGTATGTGGTTTATGTATGTTTTATATAATATATAAATTATATTGGTTATTATATTTCTATTTTATGATGTATATTAAAATATATAAATTTTATGATTATGATTCTTTTTAATTTTTATATATTTTTTATTATTATGTTGTTATGTTATTTTTGTTATAGTTATCATGGATAACTATTTTTTAATATATAAGTATCAAAGATATTATCGATAGTCTTAAGTTAAGACTCTCAACTAACAATGACACAAAATATTGACAATATTTGGCGTCAACATACTCTCCGGCTTTGAAATGATAATTTCAAAGTAAGTTTAAATAACGAAATTATATGACAATTTTAAATATTAACCATATTTTAAACAAAGACAATATATTTAATGAAATATCAAAATATTTAATATCACTGTGTTGGAAGGGGGCAAAGTTTTACCAGTTAGGTTTAAAATACGGGAATTCCAAATTTTCAAAATAAATTTTGAAATGTACTTATAAAACGCAATTTTTTTTTGTTACAATTTCGGATATATGTATGTATATATAAAATCCGAAAAATAAGTCCCTTTTTAACGATGTACCTCATGACCACGGTTTCAATCGAAAAAAATGTGATCTTTTGGCAGTGCGACGTTATTTAAAACAATTTCAAAAATTTTTTATGTCTAAAAGTGGTATAATTTCCGAGCACTGAATATTTCTTTACGCTAAAATGACGAATTCGTACAGAAAATATGTACTTTTCTTAATCTGAGTAGGTATATATGAAAGCACAGTATTATTAGAGAGCACAACTCGGGACGCTCCACAAGTTAATAAATTATCCATTAAGAAAGAAGACCGCTTTTCTATTTAAAAAAAACGCCCCCGCTTGTTGAACAAGGCTCACCACCCCCCTTTTGCTACTTTACTACTACCACACTACTCACCAGTGAGGGCTAGAAGGCAGCACGCCAGCAAAAAACTGCGCTGGCCGAGATCCATTATTAAAGGTTTCTACACACTCTGACACTTGCTTTTACAATGACATTCTATGCTAGCAAAAATAATGGAGGCCTATTCTGAGAGCATGTGTTTTTGGTCCTACAACAAAAAAACAGAACAATTGATTAGATTTATGAACAACAATATGTAAAGAATAACACAAAGAAAACACAGAAAAGGTATGTGTAACTTTGTTATTGGTTAAATTTCATATAAAAAAATGTCTGATAAAAAACCGTTTTTTGTGAGTAAACACGCTATACGATAAAATTGAAATTAAAAAAAGTCTCAAAAATAATGGAATAAAATGAAAAATATTTACATAAAAAACGACTTTTTAGGATATAAAATACATTTTTGCAATAAAACATAAATAGAATCGCGTTAAAAACGCTTTAAAATTATAATTCTAGTCTAGTTAAAAAATCTTAATAGTATGTAGGTATGTATCAAGTTTGATAAAGGCAATAGACACGAATTTAATTTGGTCCCAAGCGAGCTTTCAAGCGAGTGCTTAATTTAATGAGTGTCTAGAAAAGTTTATAAACGAGTTGCGTACTATACTTTCTCTACGACAAATACTTATTATTATCTAAAAATGATTTAAATTAAATATTTGTATTAAGCAAAATCTATAAAACGATTGTATTCCTTGAAAATGGACTGTTTAATCCGACATAGAAGCAGTTTTTTTAAGTGAAAGTCAATAAAATGTTTTATTTGCACTCAAAGGTGGAGTCTTCACACAAAATTAAGTTAAATCTAGTTTACTGCTGTCGAAAAGGTCAGTACAATGTTCATATAAATTTTTCAAATATTGGCGTTGAAAAACTATTTAATACTTTTTTATTTTTGCATTAAGATAATGAAATAAATTTTACATTTAATATTATTTTACAAGAAAGGCACAATTTTATGATATTTGACAACTGTCAACTAAAAATTAACTTTAGCCCGTGACTAAAAGGCCATGAAGCCACAACTTGTCAATGTGTATTTAAAAGGTCACTTAGTGTCATGGAAACATGTACGATAATGGGCGTATTAAAGGTGGAAATAGAAAAAAATACTTTTGTTTTATAAGTTAATATTTTTCACAAAAAGCGACTTTTTACACCTTTGAGCAATTTTTGTAAAATAGTTCATATCTTCTCATAAAAATGCATTTTGAAACTAAAAAAATGTTTTTATAAATAGAATCGCGTTATAAAAAATTTTTAGAACGAGAAAAAACATTTTTACGATATATGAAATTGAAATTTAAAAAAACCTTAAAGGTACGGGCTATAAAATTAAAACGTCAGTAATATCGTTTTAGACTTTTACCATGGTAGTACCTTTGAGCAGCAGTAAATGAAGTTAAACTTTAACATTTGACAAAAAAGTAATAAAAAGTATTTTTTCTACTCCTATTACGGAATTTGACCGTTCTAATATCACTTTTATCTATGGAATGACATATATTCCGTAAAGTGTTATAGAATGAAATATTCTATCATCGGATGACAGAATAAACACTCGTGGCGACATATCTGTTTTTAATATCTAACAAATTTTAGACCGATCCAACCTCACTTTATTCCAATTAAATTATTTTTCTATGGTATTTTTTGGAAACGTAGAAAAGGTATATATACCCAGACTATAGTCTGAAACACGTTTGAAATTGCATATTCCGCTCGAGTGAAGAGTTTGTCACACGAGCCGAAGGCGAGTTTAACGGTTTCACGAGATTCCAAACTTGTTACAGAATATACTATTACTGTTGACAATTGTCAGATTTTAATTAAATTATTTTTAAAAATCATTAAATTATTGTTTTTGATTATTTAATGTATTAGACGTTTAAAAAAATAGTATATCTTATGCGGAGTAAAGTGACTTAAGTTAAAAAAAACTGTGGCTCAAACCCTAGATGTTCGCCACTAAAAGTGTCACTTTTTGTGGCGAGTCTGTAGAATAATGTACCATTTTACAAAAACATATTTTTGATAAAACTTACTTAAATTACTCTGAAAAATATTCATATTTCTAAAATAGTCGCTATCATTATCTTACAAAATATATTTTTTTACCTATGAAACTTATTTTATACATAAAATAGCGTTAAAAAGTTTTTTTGGTCAAGAAAACACATTTTTACGATAAAATTGAAATTAAACAATAGTCCTGGAGCATAAAGCAATAAAATATTCTCCGTGGGATTTTTTATGAAGGGATGATGGGACTATTTGGGATAGCTTTTTTATACCTTTTTGAGTTGTGTGGTACCGGGTGTTTACCTTGAAAATATGTATTTCTAATCCAAAATGTCCACCATTTTCGACATTCAATTATAAAATGCCAAATAATTAATTTTATTTTGCCCTTTGAAATAAATTACATTTGACATTTTTTGATCGAAAGAATTGTATAATTTTATGGGCCGTCAAATTTGATGGCCCATCAATTTTTTTAGCCTCTATAGAGGCTATAGCAACAGTGACTTTTTTTTAAATAAAACTGTTTTAGCAAATTTAAGTAGTTTCATTGGTTGCTTATAAATTAAGTGTGCCTTGACTTTATCAATTTATGTTTACATAGAACTGTCAAAAGTATTTTCCGATTTTAATACTTTTTTGCTGTTTTTCTTAATTTAATGAATGTTTTTGTGTTTGAATTTGATTTTATAACTGTTTTAGCAAATTTAAGTAGTTTCATTGGTTGCTTATAAATTAAGTTTGCCTTGACTTTATCAATTTATGTTTACATAGAACTGTCAAAAGTATTTTCCGATTTTAATACTTTTTTGCTGTTTTTCTTAATTTAAGGAATGTTTTTGTGTTTGAATTTGATTTTATAACTGTTTTAGCAAATTTAAGTAGTTTCATTGGTTGCTTATGAATTAAGTGTGCCTTGACTTTATCAATTTATGTTTACATAGAACTGTCAAAAGTATTTTCCGATTTTAATACTTTTTTGCTGTTTTTCTTAATTTAAAGAATTTTTAATTAATTAAATTTGATTAATTATTTTATTAAATTTAAAAGCATTTTTAATTTCTAAATACTTAATTTTAACAGTTTTCTTTTAAAATATTTACTATTACCTATTTAATTACCATTTCCTGTTAATTATAATTTATTACACTGTTTTACAAGGAAAAATAGAAACTTTATTTTAAATTTTTAGGGTGATTTTGGTGCGCTAAACACAAAAACCAATCATTTTTTTTCTTATTTGGGCCATTCACCTAGATGACGGTATATATTTTTTTAATTTAAGATTTTATTTAATTCAGCATAGAGACTCTAGAGAGAGCTCTCTATTGGAGAGGGTATGGCAAATCGAATATATGGTTTAAAAGGTGGTTAAATTTCGCATCCAACAGTAAAAACGTTTTAATCGAATCAAAAATAGCTGAGTTATAGCTAATAAAAGTTCAAATTTCTTGCAAAATGGCTCCAAATCGATCCATTCAAAATATAACAACATGTCAGTTTTAAAAGCCAATATTTTCTTAACCATTTGAGATAAAAAAAGTTTTTAATAATTTTTTTTCTTTTTTATGGTTATTTTAAGAGATTATATAATTTTTCTTAATACACTGCAAAAAATATCAGTGTGTAAATTCTTTTTTCTGTGTTAAAATTTTTGTGTAAATTTTGTGTAAAAATCGTGTAAATACTTTTACACTATTGTTCCTTAATTGGGAATCAATACTAAAACGTGTAACCACTTGTTAATTTACACGTTAATGTGTTATAAACTCATATTTAATAAATATCGTGTTATGTTACACAAAGTTGTGTAAATTTTAACAAATATCGTGTAAAATTTGCCCTTTTGTTTCTTACCCTTTTATATGTAATATGAAATTTAAACTTTGACTTCAGGAAACATAGTGGGCAAATTTGCCAGTAACACATGACATTTTATTTTTTTTTTGGTAAGTAAGTTTTAAACAATTAAAATGATCTTGTTTCCTTTATTACTTTTTTTAATAATTTGTTTTATATAGAAATATTAATATTTTGTCTAATTGAAATTATAATTTTTTTTTAATAAAAGTATTTTTTTAAGCGTAATTTTTATTTATCTACCCAATTTAGTGTAAAATTTAATACGCTAAACCATCTGGTGTTAAATTTAATACATAAAGTTGTGTAAAAATTACACAAACAATGTGTTAAAGTTTAATTATTCTTCGTGTAAATTATTACACGATATAAAAAACAAATCAACACACTGAAGCTGTGTTAAAATTTTACACGATTTCGTGTGGACTTGGAATAACACAGTTTGGTGTTAGGGCGTGTAGACTTGTGTTAATTATTTTTTACAGTGTAGGACCACTAATTACGAAATTATGCGACATTTTATAAACGCATACCTGAAATAACAGTTAGGTATCGGATTAATGACGTCATAAAAAATTGACACATTTTTAAATAAAACACCCGATAATACACTACTGCCTTGTGTATAAAAAACTGATTTCAGACAGTTTCATCCTCCCTTCACAAAAAATCCCACGGGATGCACTATGCTCCAAAACTACAAGTCATGATAAAAAAAAATCTTGAAAATACCCAAGGGTTATAAAATTAATATTTTTCACAAAAAAGCGATGTTTAAGGCTTTAACAAACTTTTTGCAATAAAACTTACTTTAAAAACTAATTATATATATTTTATAAAATATTTAATATATTTTTACAAACATGAATTTTTAATTATAAAACTGATTTTATGAATAGAATTGAGTTAAAAACGCTTTTACGATAAAATTGAAATTAAAAAAGTCATTGTATAAAAAATCTAAAATATTAATATTAATATATTTCACAAAAACTACTTTTAAGGCACATTCTTGCAAACAAATAATTATTAAATAATTATATTTTATAAAATAGTCAATATCTTCTTAAAATCAGTGGCGGCTCGTCAGGAGACGCAAGTGTGGCTTGGCCTTAAATTTTTTAACCTATTTGGCCTCAATTTTTTTAAACCTATTTAAATATGTATTATATTTCAACTAAATTGCTATTAAATAAAATTTATTAAATTAGTGAAATTGTAATTCAATGTCCAATTATAATTATTTTAAAAATGATATTT